ATTATTAACTAATAAATAAATTTTATTCACATTAAAAATAAAATTTAAAAAATCTATTTAAAAAATGGAATTTATGAACATTCTATATATTATAAGTTCATAAACACCCAAACTCTTCTCTTTAGTCTCACATCGGTTGGAAACTCTTTTTTGCTATTGTTTATATAGTTTTTTGAGTTTCTTGTGTTAAGAGCTCGCATGGAGTGGTGGGGTAATATGAATATGTTTCATGGTGGTTTTGGGTCCTCCGCCGGTAAATGTACATGAGCAGCAGGTCTTACACATGAGTGATGAGTTCACACGTTGTAAACATGAGAAAGATGTGGAGCTGGCAGGTAATTGTACATTCTCCAGTTGTATAGTATTATCATATTATGAGGTATGAGAGAGGGGGGACCACAAGACTTTGGATCTCCTCGATTCTCCCTAATAAGAACAAAGCTGGTTGTAGTTTTGTGCATTATTTGGCTCTGCTGTCCCAAATAAAATATGTCCTAATGTGCTATGGATAGAAGCTGCTTTCATACCGACGAATGCTTCTAACTTTATTTGCGTTTATTGCCCTAAACCCCCCTTCACTTACTTTTTCATATTTGAGCTCATTGCTTCCATCGTCCCAAATTTAATGTGAATCTCACATTTTGACAGCACCAAATTAAGCTTTCCTCATGAAGAAGAATAGCATTGAGCAATGCCATTGAAGGAGGGAAATATGAATTTGAATAGGTTTTTCCTATCAAATCTAATAATAACAAGCTCTACAATTATTGGATTCAGCCAAACTCAATAATACCATAAGAAAATTATTAAGTGACCCACCCAACATAATGCATTAATTCCTCTCTAAAAAGAAAGAGTAGAAGAATGGCAAAAAGATACTCAACAAGAGAAGAGGACGCCACCTTCGTCCTCTACAATTATGCTATTATTATCTCTCTTTTCCCTGCTTCTTCTTTGATGAGCAACCGCCCAGTTGCACACCCCAGCAATTGGTGAAACTTCATATATAAAACACATTATTTTATGAAGCATCAATATCAAATAATAGAAATAGATGGCACCTATGAAGCTTTATTATTGAGAAATGAGAACCCAACCCACAACATTCCAAATTTTTTTTTATTATGAACCTCTTTGATGCTGCAGTATTCATTGAGAGACTGCTTTTTGCATCTCAATCATGTCCTATTTATTCATCATTAAAGAGATCGATCAATTCTGAAATCGGCAATTAGGGCGTGAAAACTGCCTCTGGTCTTTTTCAACTTGTTCGTTTTGAAGTAACAAAACCAAATACAAGTAGCATTACAAGCTCTGGAAAGAGGAAACCATGTCAAACACATCATTCAAATTAAATATCTTCACTTCACAATAAATATTCCGCCATAACCAAAAAGGCACATGGAATGGAATTAATTAGAGGTGTAAGTGACTCGTGTTTCACTCATTAATAAGTTCACAAATCGAGCTTATCGAGCCACAAGTTTGAGCTAGAACTTGAAATTAAACTCTCAAGCTCAAGCTCAACTTAACTGGGCTATTAAGCTCGTTTATTTGCTCAATTAATTTAAATTAATATTATATAACATATTTTAATCTTTTTAAATTAATCATATATTAATACAAAATAAATAAAAAAATGAAGTTTCTTAATTTAAAAATAAAAAATCGGGCTCAACAATCAAATCAAGTGCGAGCTGCATCCAAATGAGCTCGAGCCTATGAATATTTTAACGAGTTGAATTCAAGCTTATTAGTAAGAACTAAACAAGCTTAGTTAAAAATTATGTAAATGCTTAACTCAACTAGACTCGTGTACACGGAATCACTGTCCTCAACTCAACTCGTCACCTTGAATGGATCCTTTCTGAAACATCAAAATCATAACTATATTTGCCTGCTAGTAGGATGCACAGAACGGATTAGCGACATGAACTTAAAGAGTCAAGCAAGATATTCCTACAAATAATCCTCAAAAACAGAATCAAATCCCAAACTTGGCTCAGAAAAATCTAAAGAATCTCCACCACGAAGTTTGCAATAAGTGCGTTTTGGAGCTGGTTGTGTTTCAAAACTATGCAAAGATAAAACCTAAGCATTCAAAAAACAAAAATTGTAATATTGCCTCTGAAAAACCTAAAGAACAAATGTTTAAACAAAGAGGCTTTAGCAGGCCAGCTTGCAGAAAAGGGGTTGTTAAAGTTTTTGAGCCTACAAAAGAATGACTGGCATCTTAATAAAGTACAGCATTGCACAAGTCAAATTTAACTGGCCTCATAATCATATTTACAAAAATTGGCTTTGTTGGCAGATGATGATAACAAAACAAAACATTTCTGAACACACTTGTTCTTTTACGTTTTTACAGCACTTAGGTTGTAAGAACCTATGAGGAAAGAAATGTCAGAAATCTTCACCAGAATAGAACACAATTTTAACATTCTGAATGGTCACCATTTGAATTTAAACTAATTAATATTTCATTTGGGATCATTTTTTTATTGTTTTTTAATTAAAAAACTTTTTAAGCACAAAATTCTTAATTTTTTAATTAAAATTTAACTTTAAGAAGCAATATAAAAATTATCCCAAATGAAGCCTTAATCGACAAGTAAATAAATTAGGTCATTGGTAAAGAGGTAACTACAAAGAATACATACTTCACCCACCATCCACAAGAGAAAACCAAGCCACAACGAGGATAAATTATTTACTGTGAAGTACGCCGGCCACCGTGCCGAAGGCAGAAGAGCACCGTACTCTAATTAGATTGACTCTAAAACTGTGTACAGTGCACTTCATCTAATTGTAGTATATAATTGTGTTCTCTCTGCCTTCTACACGAAGCTACTTATTGAAGATCTGCAGAAATCTTTAGATAAAACTAGATAAATTCTAAAAGAGCAGAGGTGGAGAAGAATCAGAATTCATTTATTATCTATACTTGCAACAGTACAGTCCCTAAATATAAGACATCAAGGAGGGAGTAATAATTACTATTACTATGGTAGTTAGGTATCAAAGGCTCAGAAACCATAGCAGAGAAACCAACGACCAGGAGTAAGTTTAGAAAGGCAATGACAGCTTTGTGCAACTCCACTACTTCTGTACGTTGCCACTACACTTATGTAGTTCACACCTAGTAATCCACTAAGAGACAGATAGCTTGAACATTAATATGAGCCAAGATAAGAGACAAAAATTTTTGATTAATAAAGCAACTAAAACACACACACACACACACATATATATATATACACACACACATGAGGTTTGAAAGCAAAGAAAGAAATATGGTTTGAATTCTTGTGCATGGCATTGAGAGCCTCGCAGCCTTATTTACAGAACAAGATTACATGCTATGCTAAATAATTAATTACTACACAATTTCATTAGGACATATTATATAATGTATTAACAAGAATTCTATACGTAAAACTATAGGACTATGGAGGGGAATTACTGTATCTTGCAGGAAAAAATTCTTGAATTAGAATCATAATTGAACATCCATCGCTAGTTATCCTACTACAAGATCCATCTATGAGCCTGCCAAATTCCTCAAATTAGAGTAGATATTTTTCAAGCCTAATTTTGAACTAATATTCTAGAATGCAAAACTAGGAAGTACTTTAGTTTGAATGTAAGAAAGTTGTTTGTATTTGAATATATGGGATACACATCAATCAACTGTCTATTTTTTTCTTTGATGAAGTGAAGATCCATTTCAATGTATTTTGTTCACTCATGTTGGACAGGTTTCTGCGTAATGTTAATAGATGATATGTTATCTTAACATAATTTTACATACAGTACTCATTTTATTCCTAAATCATTTTGAATGATTTTAATCAATTATACTTCAAAGATTCCTTAAATTATTGCAGGTAATTCAACTTCAACACTTGATCAAAAAACAAATGACTTTCTCTTTTCTTCTCCAAGACAGCTTCTATCCCAAGTATTTCATCCTTACCAAATTCTTTCCCTTAAATTCTTTGGACAGTTGTCCGTTTAATCTTCTCATTTCTTCACATCATTCACAGAAACAATTAAGACAATTATTTTACTTTTCTTGGATCTTTCTATAAATAGGGTGTGACCTTCGAGACATGAAATGTATCCTTTCTTGTGAGCACTATGTTAGGCAGGTTCACCCTGAACCGGCCCAGCCGACCTGAGGCAGAACATGCCCGCCTCCCTTGCTCTTGCCCACCCACATGGTGGGCACAACTTGCCTAAGGATTTCAAATTCAAAAGGAGGGGGTGGCTAGGTCTTGGGAGGGAGATTAGATTAGGAAAATGTTTGTATTAAGAGCAAGAGATGTTTAGTGAAGGATTATGTTTTGATTTGTTCTCAATTAGAGTTTTTTGGCGACTTGGGCTCTAGACTCTCTTGTCTAGAGATTTAGGAGAGACGATCCTCATCTGGAATTTAGGATCTATTGTATCTTGTTTTCCTTATTGTTTGGCTATGATTTTCCTACTGCAATATATAGTTCTGGACTGTTTTCATCGAGATTTCGCATTATTCTCGCTGTTTTTCACCAATTGTAGATAGGTTTGCTTGTGAACTCAAGTATTACCCTTAGGGTTACTTGCGAACTTAAGTATTTTCTATCAAATTGGTATCAAAGCAAGTCTTGGAACAGTTCGTGGGCTGATTTGAGCGAATTCCTGCGGGTGATTTTTGGCCGTGAAAGGAGAAAGTTGTTGTTTTTGTAATCCAAATCCAGAATTTTTGGATCTACAAAAATCTGGATCGAGATGACGGCCAAGAAAGTAGATGCGCTTGAAGAAAGGCTTGAGAGGGAGATGAATCAAATCAAGACAACGGTGGAGGAAAGGATTTTCTCCATGGAAGGACAAGTAGCCGATCTTCGGGACATGATGAAGAAAAAGTTGAAAATCCACAACTAAATGGCGGCTTTCGTGGCAAAAGGGATGGAAGAGAAAAGCACGAATTCTAAAATCCGTCGGGAGGAAGATGATGTTGAAATCATGGAAGGAGAAAGAAGAAGACCCCATCTGGAACATGTCCAGAGGGAAGAAAGAGGAGGTGGATATGGGGAACACCATGAGGGATACTATGGCCGTCGAGGTGCTGATTTTGAAGAAAGACGGGGAAATTCAAAGGGGGTTTGGGCTATGGCAGGACAAGGGAAGACTGGGAGACGTGGGGAGGGTCGAGCACTTGGGAGAGGGGAAGCTGTGGAAGAATAAAAGGGAAATGGTGGACATCAGAATGTGAGGAAGCTGAAGATGCTCATATTTGAAGGGGATGATGCTTATGAGTGGATTTATAAGGAGGAGAGGTACTTCGCCGTCAATGGGCTGACGGAGGAGGAGAAGCTGACAGCAGCAGGCTTGTGCTTGGAAGGGAAGGCTCTGTCATGGTACCAGTGGAGAGACCAGATGAGACCTATCAGGAACTGGAGAGAATTCAAGGAATGCATAATAGAATGTTTCCAAACCGATCAAGGAGATTTCTATGAGAAGCTCTTTGCTCTGACACAGGAGGGATCAGTAGCAGTCTATCGGGAGCAGTTTGAGCACCTGGCCAATAGGGTGGAGCGATTATCAGATATTCTATTGGAGGGGAACTTCATGAAGGGGATAAAGGCAGATATCCGAGCAGCAGTGAAAGTTCTGATGCCTCGTGACTTTGGGGAGGCCATGAAGTTGGCACAGTTAGTTGAAAAAAAGATAAATCTGGAGAGAGAAGCCAAAAGTAACAGCACAGGGAGCACTTACAGGATAACGATCACCCATCTAGAACCTAAAGGTCCAGCAACAAGAGGAAGTCGAGAGGCCGCCAGGGAGAAGACAGGAGGGAGTGGAGGAAATTTCAAGCGGCTGACAAAGAAAGAGATGCAGGAGAAGAGGGCTAAGGGGTTGTGCTTCAAGTGCAATGAGAAGTATATGTCAGGGCATCGGTGCAAGAACCGAACTCTTCAGGTTCTCACCATCTGTGATGACGAGGAAACTGAGGAGGGAGGTGAGGAGGAGATGGATGAGAAGCTACATTTGGATCTGGCCGAGGTTTCACTGAACTCGGTGGTAGGATTCACTACAAATCATACCATGAAGGTGAAGTGGGAGTTAGAGAACAAGGAGATGATGGTGTTAATTGATAGTGGGCTACTCATTTCCACTCAGGTCGTCGACCAATTGGGAGTAATATTGATGAATAGTGGTTGTTACGGGTTGATGATGGGTATGGGAAAGGTGGAGAAAGGTCAGGGGATCTGCATAGGAGTGCTACTAACTATCAAGGGGATTCAGGTGAGGGAAGATTTTCTTCCATTGGGGTTAGGGAGTACATATGTCATCCTAGGGATGAAATGGCTGCATACTTTGGGAGACACCAAGGTGAATTGGGGGCTCACTCAAGATGGAGTTGATGGTAGATGGAAGGAAGATGGTGATTAAGGGAGATGCAGGGCTATCCAAATTCATGGCTTCTCTTAAAACTATGGTGAGAGATATACAGTTGGCGGGTGGAGGATATTTAGTGGAGTTGCACAGTTTAGAGGGAGCTAGAGTGTGAGAGAGTGGGGACATAACCCTCTCCATATAGCCACCGATTCAGCAATTCCAAGAGGTGTTTAAACCACCTCAGAGATTGCCACCGCAGAGGGAGCAGGAGCATGCAATCATTTTGAAGGAAGGTGTGTCACCCATGAGCGTATGGTCTTATCGCTACCCTCAGTTTTAGAAAGATGAAATTGAAAATTTGATTAGAGATGCTGGAGGCAAGAATCATCAGACCCAGCGTCAGTCCCTTCTCTAGTCCAGTTCTATTAGTGAAGAAGAAAGACGGCAACTGGCAATTATGTGTGGACTACATGACGTTCAACAAGGAAATTGTACCTGACAAGTTTCCTATACCAGTTATTGACGAGTTGTTAGATAAATTGAGTGGAACAGTGATCTTCAACAAGATAGATTTGAAATCAGGATACCATCAGATCCGAATGAAGGAGGATGTGCTCAAGACTGCCTTTAGAACTCATGAGGGACACTATGAGTTCCTGGTGATACTTTTTAGCCTCACAAATGTTGAAATGGCCAGTGCCTAAAAATCTGAAGAAGCTGAGGGGATTCCTAGAACTGACAAGTTACTACATAAGATTTGTAACGGAATCCAGCACCATAGCATGACCACTCACTGAGTAGTTGAAGGATGATTTTCTATGGGGGGAGGCAACCACATCAACATTTGAGAACTTAAAGCAGGCTATGCCTACGATACCGGTCCTAACTTTGCCATATTTCACTCAGATCTTCATAGTGGAGACAGATGTATCTGGATACTGGTTGGGTGCAGTGCTTATGCAGAGTCATAGGCCCATTGCCTATTTCAACCAGGTGTTAACTGCTAGAGCCAAGCTGAAATCAATCTATGAGAGATAATTAATGGTCATCGTTTTAGCCATCCAAAAGTGGCGGCTTTACCTACTTGGGAGGCATTTCATTGTCAAGACAGATCAGCGGAGCTTGAAATACCTGCTAGAACAACGAATGGAGACAGAGGAGCATTAGATGTGGTTGTCCAAGCTGCTAGGATATAATTTTGAGATTCAGTACAGGCCATGAGTGGAGAACAAGGCGGCAGATGACTTGTCCAGATGTATAGAGGAGCTCAAAAGTAATCCTCAATTATCAACTTATGATCCATTTTATAAAGTAAGAGAAATTAAAAAATAACCTAACAAATAGGTGCACATGTAAATCCTTATTTTATCAAAAATATAGACAGAAAATACAAATGAATACAAACATAATAAAATAAATATGAAATCCTAATTCTAAATCTCACTGCATCACTAAATGCTCGGAGAAAGTTCACCAACATTTTTTGCTGAGATGGTACAAGAGTTCAAGATTCTTCATTCCTTACATGAAGCCCAGATCCTCATCTTCCAGATCAAGGAAAATTGTGGCAACCGCCTGCCGATAAGTACTTGATTTCAAGTTTCTGACCAGCACTAAAATCTCTGGTCCTGTTAAATCCATCATTGTTCCTTGCTGCTCTTTCAGCATTTTAAGGATTCTTGCTTCACAGAATGCAACCGCAACAGGTTTTCTACTGTTGATCAGAATACATAATAGATGAGTAGCAGATAGCGGACTGACTATTATATTTATCACTACAAAGTTTTCAAGTAATAAGATTTATAATAGTAAAATTTCTTTACAAGTCCCAATTTCTGAGAAGTTCCGCTCAAGAATATGAAAGTAATGATTCTAGTTACAAGAACCAACTTAAACAGTAATATTTTACAGTTCAAGTGAAAAATAATATAAAAAGAGTCATTTGATTGCATATAAGTAGAAAATATTATTAAAAAAATGATTAGTTTACTTCGCACATTTTTTAGGTGAAGCTGAAATCATTAATACATTTGAGAGGGTTTAGAGGGAATTTCTATAGTTCAATAATAATGTTAATTTCTAACAACATGCAAACAAAAAAGCCCTAAGAAAAAAACTATAATTTGTGGAATTTATTGCAGCTTGCTTTTTCATCCTCTCTCACTCACTCTCCCTTTCTCATCATGAAACTCTTATGATGAGAATATATTTCACCACAAATGATGAAGACAACAGAATAATTAAAGAGCATGGAGTTCAAAAGGGTGCAAACCTTCCTCGAACAAAGCCAGTAGTGATAAAGCCAATCGGCCACCTGTACCACTTGAGTGATGAGCTATCCTGTGGCACATGTAGCTCCCAACTATAAGAATCTTGCCTTGTGAAATAAGATTTGATGAAGGACTGTGGCATCTGTGGTGGTGTATGTTCTTCCGACCTATGATTTCAAAAGAAACTCTCATAATACAACAAGGGAAAAGCCTGATGTTTTGCCAGGTGAAACATATAGAAACAGAAATAACAAATCTTAATTGTTCCCTGAACTTTACCAAAAATATAAAAAATCAAAATATTTACAAAACAAATAAGATAAAGTGTTTAGATGACCTATCCATCCATGATGAGAGATCTGCAAGTTCAGGGGCACAGACAACAGCTCCTTCGTCAAAAAAACCTTCCTTGAAAGCATGAATCAGAACTCTCACAAATAAAGGCCCTCCACCTTGGTCCAAATATCCTTCACCACTAGTTTTTTCCAATATATAATTTAAATCATTTGATGTTCTTAAAATTGAAACATCAAAATACTTCCTAGATTGCTCATAAGGGGATTGCTTCTCATCTTGAGAATGCATGTTAAACGATGTGACATAAGTTGTTTCTCTACTAGCATAGCATGGCTCATTGGTATAAAAACTTTTACAGAGAGTACGGGCTACACAATGCCATTGGGGGGCTATGGGAACACAAATAGGTCTCAAAGCAGGAGGTCGAAGCTTAACGGCTTCATCAGCTTTTGTAACTTCAGCAGTCATGAGTGATGAGTATGCACTAGAATCAGGGAAATCATATGGGAATGAAGGTAATCCACCCTGCAAAAAGAAACTATAAATCTCACAAGCAAGATACTCAAATAAATTCTGAAGATGAGATATAATTTACTTGAGCCAAAAAGAATCTAAAACAAAATTTTATCATCATGATAATGAACTCTATACTGTTAAAGCCTAGAATAAAAAGCTCTACGAAGTTTGATTTCATGGAACTTACATTGCAAGCTATCCACCGCTTTTCTCTTAATCCAATTGCATGAGCTTTATTTAAGATAAGAGACATCCAAAAAGGTTTTACCCAACTTAAAGGAAGAATTATAGACCATCTGCGGGCAAAAGTTGAAATCAGTTTATGATTTTCTTAGAGTAAACAATCATTACCAGTAATAAAAAGCCAAAGACAGTAACATAACAATATGCATCATTCCTAACCCAGAATTAAACGATTCATGGTCTGCATGCTTTAAGAGTATAATGGGGCAGGACCGATCATAACGATCTCTTGCTTCGTAACATGGCTCTTCAACAAGATCAGGATCCAGATAGAAATGTTTTAAGCGCTTACAATGCCTCTCCCTGCAGATAACATTTTCTGGCAACGGAGGTTTCAAATTTATATAAGAATCCCATAATTGTCTACAATCAGAAGGAAAAACTCCATTTGCTTCAGGTTTTGACCAGAATGAAAGCAACAAGTCCTTATTCCTGGTTAATTCATTGGAGAACTTGGCAGTGGAATCAGTAACAAGACCTTGATGTTGTGGACAACTAGCAAAACTGGCAGTTGTAGGAAAACATTTAACTTCTTTCATAGGTAAATCTCGTGGATCTTGAACTTCTAGTGAAAAAATAGCACGAGATGGAAGGTGACCAGCGTGTTCAAGAACGAAACTACTATGTAATTGTGAATTTGAGCACGCTCTCAAAGAAGAGGAACTCAATTGAGATTGGCTACCAATTTTGCGACACCTGACAATTTATCAAAATGTTTGCAATAATGAGAATAAAAAGGGTATTGAATTATTCGAAGGACTTCGTAAATCTTTTCTTACTCTGGCATAGGAATCAGCATTTTTTGGAGAATCTTTAGAGACTTGGCTCCAATGACTTCTAATCTTGCAATATGCCCCTCCATAGAAAGGCAATGAATAGAGGTACCAGTCTCATTCATCTGTTCGAAGAAGATCAAAAGGAATTCCAATGTAGAGCATTCAACAAATTTCATGAGTCAAAAACAGTATTATCAAGTTTAAAATTACAAACAAAAAAGTACGAGCATAAGATACACATTAAAAACATTTCATTCTCTTCTTTAATGTTATTGAATGATTAATATTACAATTATAAATCATCTTTTAGCAAAAAAAGAGGGAAGTGTTGGTACCTGTTTCTGACAAGCACATCTCAATGCATCAAATCCTTCATTGTAAGCAGCAGGATGTAACCATATCCACAATTGCCGCGGTGAAGTACTACATTCAGATTTACTAGAGCTACTTCGATCGAATAGTTGTTCAGAATCCATGTAATTCTCATCTCTTTTCAGTGGCAGCCACATGTAAATAACTGGAGAAATAAACTTGGGAAGCGGAGATCTAACATGGTAAAGCTATAAAGGGTAATAATTTAATTTAATAATTTAAATGTGTGCATCTGATCTTCCATTATCTACAAGCACTGAAAGATTACAAAAATGAGACATACCATTGAGTTAGCATAGCAAGCTCCATAAAATATGGGCTTGGACATTTGGTCTGAAAAATCCGAAGGAAATGGTCGCAAGACCATCCTCATAATATCCAAGATAGATTCCTGAAGAATTTTTTTGTCAATTCAATGTAAAAGGGCATTCTTGAAAAGATATCAATACAGAAAATCATGCAGTCTAGCACATTTAAAATTTGCAAGGAAATACATTTTGAATATAATAGCGGGTTTGACTAGTATTTTTCAATGCACAACACGCAAAGAAAAGTATAAGGTTTCTCTATTGCTTTTAAGCACATAGTCCAAAGGGGCAACTAAGGGATTTGCCTTAAAATATTAAGGAAAACTATTAAGCCCTCTTAAGCAGGATAAAATGAAATATGAAATCTAAGCATTAAAATAATTGTCTGGTGCATTAAATAGAAATTAAGACTTCTCAGTTAAGCATCATCCCCATTGGACAAGTTTTAAAAAATAGTATGGGCGTGGGAGTTATAAAATAAAAAATAACTATGAGCACATAAGAAAAGAGAAAATCTCAAATCATAATAAGCATATATATTTCCAAAACAAATCACTAGATACAAGCTTACCATTACATAGAAATATTAAACTCAATAAATAGAATTCAAAAATCTAAAAAAAACATATAAATAATACAATAAATTAAAAAATAATAAAATCAAATCAAGGAGACCACACAGCAATAAGAAAACTAAGGAAATCAATCCGAAGGCATTTCAATGGCAACTCAACTATAAAAAAAGGTTGCAAAACGAACTTAGAGAGCATTGTGCTTGAAAAGCAAAGTACAAAATTCCAAATAAATACCAACTTTAATCCCCTCCCCCCAACCACCACTACCACAGCTTTTGGATAATGCACAGGGCTTCAACATGATTTGGTTCAAAATAAGCTCTTTACTATGATTTAAAGAATATTGAGTTCTTTTTTTCTGTTTGGTTGGTATAAAGGAGAGAACAATGATGACAATATAAACATTTTACTTTAAGGAACATTGGAACATTTCTTTAGAGAAACAATTACAGCAAAACAATATAAATGAAACAAACAAGTCAATGAATAAATTCAAACAAAAATTATAGACAAAATAAAAACGGAATGCAAACCTCTGGACCCTCCAATTGGACAGGGTGGCTGTAACTAGCATCATGTATAAGTGCTCCGGATTTCAACCTCTTCAAGATAGCTCTTGAGCCCCTACCCCTATAAAATGATAGCAATCTTGTTGACCAAAAAGAACGAATCTAAGCTATATAATCAAACTAATAAGCAATTTAAGCCGCAAATATAAATAAAGAGAAAACCACCAGGTCCTTGCCATGTGATGCGAATGTATAAAGTACTATATGGAATTCTTTTTTATAACTTCTAGCAAAGTTTCTTTTCATTTATCCTTTTCTTTTCCTAAGCTTTTCACATTAATTTTACACCTTTGTCTTAGTGGTGAACCATTTGTTCTCTGTTGCACGTGCTCAACATTGTCCTCCATACGTGTTACCGCATAAATCTCTCCAATATGTTCATTTTGTTACCTTACCCTAGTTTTTGCATGTCCATCTTAATATTATCATTTCTGCCACACTTGGTAATTATGATTTATTTCTATGCATGCAATTGTCAATCTAGTTCAATAAAGTAAAATAGAGTATTAAAAAAAACTAAAACAATACAGGATATCAATTAAATCTTACGGTATTACATGCTAGGTGGCTACAATGGAATTATTAATTTGTCATTTTAATAGGTTAGGTGATAATGATAAAAGCAAATTATTCTTTTCATAACAGTAGATAACCCAAAATAAATTTTTAATTATATTAAACCATATCAACCCAAAAAGAAGAATTTGTATACCTGCCTTGCAGCCCAAGGGGAAGATAGAATCCCCAAAGTTTTACCATCGAGAACCGTTTGGCTAACCAGAGATGAGTTCGGAGCCTCTTTGTCCCATCCTCGGACACAGAAAACCCAAATGTCATATTCCTCCGCAACTCTAGCCGTCGTCTAACTCTTCGTGAGGGTTTGCTCTTCTTCTGAGACGCTTCCTTTTCATCCAAACCCCCTTCCTCCATTCCATCATAGCCCGATGCGGCAACAGCACCATCAATCACGCGTGGTCTCTTCCTCCGACGATTCTTCCCACTCCGGAAGCCAGTGGTTCGCCGCCTTTTATCACGCCGCATGCAAAAGTCATGATTTAGGCGATTGGAGACAATGTTGTGGAGGGATTCAAGCTCCCATGCTCGGGATTCAGCGAACTTGTTGATGAGTAAGAGTCTGGGTGGAGGGGGAGAACGCTCACTTGAGTAGAGTGAGGTCTGCGAGGGTTTTTTATCATTATAGGATGTCGGAAGCACCATCGGGATGAACCCAAATAAACCCTGCGCCAATGCTGTTTTTAGGTGGAAATCACGGTGGATGCCTGCCATTAATATATCAAATGATTTAGGGTTTAGGGACTGTTTGGATGCAGAATTTAGTCCGGATTTGAGGCCGATTTGAGCTAAATCCCGCCAAACGGCTTAAAATGCAAAATCAAAACTCACGGTAAATGGAAGCAGTTGACTGAAAAATACCTCTTTTCTCGGTAAATCCCAGATTTACCTAATCCTTCGGTTCGGCGGATTTACGGGATTTGGCAGAAGAAGCGCGCGAAAGGGAGAAAGTTGCCTCCACAGCGAGCGAGCTCCCGTCGTTGCTTCCGATCAAAATGTCGTAACTTCGGATCCAACAGGAAGGGAATGCCGTCGAAGTAGCGAAATCGAACAGCCCCGAAGGAGCCGAAGAACGGACTAGTGCAAAAATCTACACAAGGAATGAAACCGAACAGCAACGACGAAATACAGAGGGAAAAGCAAACCCTAGACGCGGGAAAGCTATTATTAATTAAACTTAATTAATATAATCTAAAAATATTAATAATTAAGTAAAATTAATTAAATAATACTTATATATTAATTAAATTTTTAATAGAATTATTAGTTAAATACTTTGTTATTTCAAAATAATTAGTAGGATTAAATATATATTTAAATAGAAATTATTACTATATAACATCATAAATAAAAATTAAATAATTAATTAATATTAGAATATTAACTAATATTAACCAAACTTTGATGAATTTTATTTAATATATAGTTATACTTTAATCATCCATAAAATTCAAATTAATTAAATAATTAATTGTATAATTAGTGCATAAATTAATTATCTAATTTAACTTAATTGTATAATTAGTAATTAAATATTAATATAATTAGATTAATTAATATACTTAATATATCTATTATTAAATATATAATTAATTGTGTAAATAATAATTAATGAGTAATTTGTACTTAACATATTATTAAATTTATAACACATTATTTTTTTTTTATAAAATTATTTTTAAGTTATAATTATCTTTTTCAGATTTAAATTCCTAACTACTATAAATCCTGAAATATGTTATCAAACAGTTTCTCAGTATTTAACATTTGGCATACCAAACAGTTTTCAGTATTTAATACATTTCAGATTTACTATATTCGGATTTACAGGATATACTAAATCCCACTAAAGTTAAATCCCACTTGTTGCCAAACAGGCCCTGAATGTTACCAATAGTTTTCAAGATTTAACAGAACTAGAATTCAGTAAATCCGGATTTAGGCGATTTATGAAATCCTATGTAAATTAAATCCTTGGTGCATCTAAATGACCCCTAAGGCTTATTGATTGCAGGATTTATAACAATTTTATTCAAAATGTATTTCCTTTCAATTTGTAAAGATGTTAGAGTGCATGATTTTAAAGGTGCTAGGTGTCAGTTCAAAGTAAAATGCCACTATTGAAAATATATAATCAATACAGAAAATCATGCATCTAGCACCTTTATGAATTGCAAGGAAATACATTTTGACTATAGTAGCGGGTTTGACTACTGCTTTTAAGCTCACAATATGTAAAGCAAAATAGTTTTCAGTTGCTTTTAAGCACATAGTCCAAATGGGCAACTAAGAGATTACCCTTAAAATTTTTCGTATACTAAATAAACATACACTAAAGTCTTAAAATTGTATTTTTAGTTAGCTAAATGCAATTAAATATCAAGCTAAACTATTAAGCATCTTAAGCAGGATAAAATAATATATGGAATCTAAGCATTAAAAGATTTATGAGGTGCATTAAATGGAAATTAAAAGTTCTCAGTCTAAGCATCATCCCTATTGGACAAGTTTAAAAAAAATAGTGTTACTCTGGTGTTGTTTCATCTTCAAGTACCTATAAATTTACCATTTCAGCATAAGAGCAATCCAAAGAATCATAATGTCTTTTTTTTAAGTTGAAGCCTAAAAAATAAAGAAAAAATATAGCTTAAGATTATACATACTTTTTAAATTGACATTTGTACATAAATATTAATATACTATAAGATTATATATATTTTTAAATTTAAATTATATTGAACATAAACAAGATCGTTGAGCCATTAATGCTCTACATAATTACATCTCTTTAAGTGAATCTATTCAAAAACACTCTGAAATTGTTGATATCCAAGTGATGGTTTCTCATTCAAGTCAACAATATGCAATAACTGAATCAAAGGGCTCAATATATTTGAAATGATAAGACAATTATGCAAAACTTCAAATCCAAAATAATTGAAGCTATCTCCTTTCCCTTAGAGATTTTGGATACTTTTGAATTTGTATAAAACTTGCTTGTGATGAGTGCTTACATGTAATGGTGGTGTTCATGGATACTTTTAAAAGTAATGAAGGTCATTGCAAAATGAGTAGCTTCTGGATGTATGATTGCCTTCTAACCTTGCCTTTACTTAAGTCATGCAAGTATGAAGATATAATTATAAGAAAAAAATTGTCCCCTTCAAAGCTTTTTTTGCTAGGTCCTCTATGAGAGGCATGCTTCCAATGCCTTTCAAAATTAAGTTCATACAATATGAAACATAAAATGACTAATAGATGTTGTTGAATCTTTCATGTAAGTGTTGACCTTATATTTACCTGAGATTCATCAATCAAAACTAAATAAAAAAATCAAGATCAAATCTATAATCTGAAACAAAAAATTATGGCCAAAGTTCCTTGTCTAATAACCCTTTCTAGGTGGGTTTTCAATTCCAAAACCATACCAAATGACCTTTAATTCATGATCCACTAGTTGAATATTGATTAGGCATGTCTCTAGGATCAACCCTCCAAATTTGAGGTCAATCTAAGATATTTAACCTAAAAAATTCAATCGAAATTCAAAAGCTTCAAAATCTTCAAATATTTACATCCCATGCCACCAAACCTTGCACATTGTAGAATTTGACATTGGGACTTTCCCCAAAACTCTTGAACATATACATGACCCATGTTATGACATGTTAAACATAAAACTATACTTTGGTGGACCCTGGTTGACCATGGGCCCACTTGAGAAAAATGCCCCTAAAGGTAATATTGATGTTTTCTCCAAACTTCAATATGACTCAATCAAAATAAGTTATTGAACATCTTCTAATGCATCCTAGACATCATTAGAAGTGCATTTAATCCAAACCAAAGTTTTAGTTTGACCAGGTTGATCAAGTCAACTATAGTTGACCAAAATGCTCCTTAAAAACCCAAACATGCATTTCAAGCAAGGAGATCTCACCATTGCATGAGATCACCTCTGTTGAGTTCAAAATGTCATTTTGAGGTTGTTGGCCCCGATCCTATTTCTTGATTTGACTTGGTTAACCAAATTAATCATACACCCGACCAAAGCCAAATTCAATGTTCTAAGCAATATCAAACCAAATTAACAACTTAAAATCATTCAATTGTATATTTCAAAAATATGCAATATTATCCTAGGTCAAGTCACCATTGATTTTACTTGGTTAACTCATCATGGTAGGTCAAAATCATGTATGAAATAAAGTCTTCAAAAAAACACTCAACCCTTAGCCTCAAATCCCATGGATTTTATTCCTATAGCATGTGTGACTCCCCGAAACCCTATCTTAGTCCCCATTGACTAGTTAACCAGTCAATAAACCCTTCCAAAGGATGAAAATATATTCAAATGGCTCAAAATGACCAAGCCACCTCATCCATCTCATTTCCCTCCAAACCTTCTAGCATATTATACTAAAAGCAACCATAATCCACCCAAATTATCCCTAAAGCAAGCACCTAAATCAAAGCTCATGCATTAGCTTGACCAAATAGGTCAAAAAGTGGTCTCCCATCAAATGAGCCAAAACCCAAAACACTCGCAAACCTCTGTCATTTTTTAGTCTTTAACCACTTTCGACAAGTGACAGCCATCCAAGAAATCACTCCAACCCAACTTAGTCTTCCATTCAAAGGGCTAGGGTTTAAGGTGGAAAAAATCACTCATGACCCTCATTCACTCATCTCATACTCTATCAATTGTTTTCAACCCCCGACTCCTTTCTCCTAGCTTCTCCAAGAATTCCTCTAGCTTCCTTAGCCATTTCTCTACCATTCTATACCTTTCAAAGCCCATTTTGGTGAAAAAAAGAGATATAGTGAGATAAAGTGGAGTTTTGAAGACAACTTTTGATCAAAAAACAACCAAAAAACAAAGTTGGAGAGAATATTCAAGAGCAAAAAGAAACCAAGAAATAAAAAATCTATCCACAAGTTGGTGAGAAATCTTAACTTTTAGTTAAAATGTCATTTTGTGATTGCTCAAAATTTATAATGCATGAAGCAACCAAACTCAAGGCATTGATAATTTATATTACAATGAGTTTATGCTTCAAATTTCATAAAACTTCATCAAGTATTTTGAAGGTTATGGGCATTCAAAACTTTAGCTCATTAACTAGCCCTTTTCACACATTTCTCACCATCCAATGCCAATTAATGTGTGATCAAACGATCCATAGCATGTCAGACGCTGAACCATCCAACCATTTTCAAGAGTGGATCAAACACGCGACCGTAGAGGCGATGTGTCTGATTCCATATATCAATGCTCAAATTAGGTTCTTCGATATAAGACAAATCCTTTTGAATTTCAATGTCATTTTGAGAAATTCCTTGACTTTCATCGGTAACCCACTTTATGGGCATTGATACATGAAAAATATTACGTATATCAGACATATCTAAAGGTAGAGCCAATCTGTATGCTACTTACCCCACTCTTTCAATAATCTCATATGGACCTATAAATCTAATACTGAGTTTTTCGCTTTGGCCAAATATAGAAATATCTTTCATTGATCTCACATTCAGAAATACAAAATCTCCCACCTTAAATTCTATCATTTTATGCTTTGGATCATAATATTTCTGTTGGCGATCTTGAGTTGCTTTTAATCTGTCTCTGATTAGTCTTACATTTTCAGTAGCTTGATCCTCTAACTGTGAACCCAATAATTATCTTTCACCAACTTCAAATCAACTCAAGGGAGTTCTGCATCTTTTGTCATATACAGCTTCATATAGAGCCATTTTGATGCTGGATTGGTAGCTTTTATTATAAGTGAAATCGATTAATGGAACATGATCTTCCCAGCTACCTCCAAAATCTAATATACATAATTTTAACAAATCTTCCAACACCTGAATAATTTTTCTGATTGGCCATTTGTTTGTGGATGAAAAGCAGTACTGAACTTCAATATCGTGCCCAAACTTGCATGTGTACTTTTCTATAATTTGGATGTAAATCTTCTATCTCTATCTGAAATAATAGCTTTATGAATTCCATGCAATCTAATGATTTCATTCATAAATAATTTGGCCAATTTTTATACTGAATCAGTCTAACGAATAGGTAGAAAATGAGCTGACTTGTTGAGTTTGTCAACTATCACCCATATACTATCATGCC